TACTTACATTAAATCCAGAATTTATTCCTGAAGGAAGTTCAATGAATAATTGACAATCATTATGCTCAATATTATGTACAAGTTGAGCACCATGCATGTATCCCAAAGTATGGTGATCAAAGCAGATGCCTAATATAGAAATATAAATGCATTCACGCAACAACCTCACACAAATTCCTATATCTTCTCCCCACGGGTGATTTAATTTCTCAAATATTAGACAACTAATTAATAGTACATTTACAAAATAAAACAACTTCCCTCTACTCAAGGTTAGAGTATGGTGATGAAAACATGTTATAAAATAATAAAAGAAGAAAGAAGAATATTGCAGAGAAAAGTAGGGAGAATTCTTATTGATTTGGGATGAACTACAAAGGAATAGAACCCCTCAATCTATAGGTGTAACGACCCGACCAGTCGTTTTGAATATTGTAACCTCGTCCCCCCATTTACTGCTTAATTTATGTCTTGCAATTGATTTATGACGTATCGAGTTAGTTGGTTCGGTTCCGGAAAGAACTCGGAGTGAAATTAGACACTTAGTCTCATAATTGAAAATTTAAGTTAGAAAAGTGGACATGATATGGACTTATATGTAAACGACCTCGGATTTGAATTTTTATGATTCCAATAGCTCCGTATAGTGATTTTGGGCTTAGGAGAATGTCCGGAATATTATTTGGAGGTCCGTAGAGGAATTAGGCTTGAAATGCCGAAAGTTTAATTTTTGAGAAGTTTGACCGGGGGGTTGACTTTTTGATATCAGGGTCAGAATCTGATTCTGAAAATTGGAATACCTCTGTTATGTCATTTATGACTTGTGTGCAAAATTTGAGGTCAATCGGACGTGATTTGATAGGTTCCGGAGTCATTTGTAGAAATTAAAATTTTCAAAGTTCATTAGGCTTGAATTGGGGTGTAATTCATGGTTTTAGCGTTGTTTGAGGTGATTTAAAGATTTGACTAAGTCTGTATGATGTTTTAGGACTTGTTGGTATATTTGGTCGAGGTCCCGAGGGGCTCGGATGAGTTTCAGATGGTCAACGGGTTGGATTTTTGACTTGGAACTCTACTGGAATTTTTCTGATGCACGATCTGGTTTCCTTCATCGCATTCGCGAATGGAGCCTCGCGTTCGTGAATAGGAACTGAGAGGCTAGAAATATTTGCTCTTCGCGTTCGCGAAGAGAAGCACACATTCGCGAAGGGTGGATTGCATGTGCATCGCGAACGCGAGAGGTGTTACACGTTCGCGAAGAAGAGAGGAAGCAACTGAGGACTCCAGGCAATTAGTCTACGCGTTCGCGTAGGGGGTGTCGCGTTCGCGTAGTAAGGGGGAACGAATCATCGCGTTCGCGAGGGGTTGAATGCATTCGCGTAGAAGAGATTGAGGCAGAGGAATTTTTGTGCTTCGCGAACGCGAGGGTAATGTCGCGTTCGCGAAGGAGGAATTTGGATAGGAGCTATTTTGTGCTTCGCGAATGCGAGGCACTGACCGCATTCGCGAAGAAGAAAAGCCTGGGCAGTGAATTTAAGTTATGAAAATGGGACTTCATCCCATTTTCAGTTTTTGACGATTTGGAGCTCGGATTTGAGGCGATTTTGGGTGATTTTCAGAGGAAACAATGGGGTAAGTGTTCTTAACTCAATATTGGTTAAATTACCCGAATTCATGGTTGTTTTTATCATTTAATTGGTGAATTGAGTTGGAAAAAATTGAAAACCCTCTTGGTCTAAATTGAAGATTTGAGGGTCGAGTTGGGGTCGGATTTTGGTAAAACTGGTATGGTTAGACTCGTGGTTGAATGGGCTTCCGAATTTTATAACTTTTGTCGAATTCCGGGATGTGGGCCCCACGGATGATTTTTGAGCTACTTTTTGGATTTTTATGAAAAATTATTATTTTCTTATGGAATTAATTCCAATAAATTTTATTGACTAAAACGAATTATTTATGGCCAGATTCTAGGCGTTTGGAAATCAATTCACGAGGAAAGGACATTGCGGAATAAGAATTTCACGGCTTGATATAAGTAACAGTTTTAAATCTGGTCCTGAGGGTATGAAACCCCGAATTTTGGTATTATGCGATTATTTTGGAGGTGACGCACATGCTAGGTGACGGGCGTGTAGGCGTGCACCGAGGGAATTGTAACTTGGTCCGTCCCGGGAAACTGTAAAGTTGAATAATTTGTTGTTAGCTATATGCTTTCTATGTGTTGATAAAATTTAACTATAAACCATGTTAGAAATCATGCTTAGGCTATGTGATAGTACTGTTGGGACCCACAGAGGTCGCGTACTTGTTGAATTGCCTGCTAAATTCTATATGTACCCAATCTCAGTTTTTACTTGCATATTTTATCTCAGTCTCTATTATTATTATTATTAATACATCATATCATTGTTATTTGGGCTGATTTCATGATTATTGAGAGTCCGAGAGACTGGAGAGATTTATGACTGAGTGAGGCCGAGGGCCTGAATGTGAGATATTGATATTATAGCACGTGAGTTATCCGTGCAGCACGTGAGTTGGCCGTGCGGATCCTTATATTATACTACATCATGTGAGCTGGCCGTGCGGATCCTTATATTATACTATGGCACGTGAGTTGGCCGTGCGGATCCAGATATTTATATTATGGTACGTGAGTTGTCAGTGCAGCACGTGAGTTATCCGTATATATTATAGTGCTTGGGTTGTAGGAGCCCCTTCGGAGTCTGTACACTCCCAGTGAGCGCGGGTACCCATTGAGTGAGTGATGAGGGCTGGGAGCCGAGGGAGTGATGAGGGCTAGGAGCCCAGTGAGTGATTGTTGTTCTGAGAGATTGTACTTGAATTCCATTTGTTGTTGCATTTAGTTGTTATCTATCATTGTTGTGAAATTTCTGAAAAATTGTTGATATACGGATTTCAGGAACAGGAACTGTATAAAAATTGATTTTACATTAACCTGCCAGATTTGATAGTATGTATATTCTTTGTTTGGATTACTGGAAATGAACCATAACTGTGTAGCTCGTTACTATCTTCAGTTCCTTATTTATTATTATTACTTGCTGAGTTGGTTGTACTTATACTACACCCTGCACTTCGTGTGCAGATCCAGGTATTCCCGGACATAGCGGGTGTTGATTCTTCCGTACAACTGATTTTTCGGAGATTCAGAGATAGCCGTCGTGTTTCGCAGACCTTGTCTCTCCTTCCCTATCTCTGTATTACTGTACTTTTGGTCTTAGACTATTGTAGATCGTACTTTTCCAGATTTGTATTCATATTAGATGCTCATGTACTCAATGACACCAGGTTTTAGGGTGTGTTCGTATTTGTATTTGAGAGATTTTGTATTGTATTTAAATATTATATTTTCAGATATAAAAAAAATTATGGTTTAGTGACATTAACGATTTGCCTAGTATCGAGATAAGCGTCATCACGATGGGTGAGATTTTGGGTCGTGACAATAGGAAAAAAGTGACTTAGCCACAAAGTAACAAATTCTAAAATCTCTTGAAAATCCAAAATTTTGAATTCAAGCTTAAACAAGCTTCAATGGTTGTCCATGGCGTTTTCAGTTTAATCCTTTGATCCAATCCAACAAACTAACGTTTAATAGTGATTTTTCAACCGGATTAAGGTGATCGATTATCTGAAAGTCATTTTAGCTCATTGTATGCTTTAAAAATTGACTTTAATTGAAAATTGTATAGATTAAAATGATATTTGGATCTTTTTTGATAAATATTTTATTTGTGGGCTAGTTTTGGTTAAAATTATTTATGGATTAACCGTTTCAATAATGAGTTTTTACACACTTGATCCTTTTTACTTATTATTTAAAAAAATAGCATCATTTATTGTTTATTCCATAAAAACACTTTTTTTTCATTATTAGCATATTACAAAAATTAAGACCAACATTCATTTTCTTCACTCCATTTTTTAAAATCTGATGCATATAATACCACCTAAATTCAAGATATATTGATTTATACATCCTTTATACTTTGTATATCAAGTATCACTTTAATTTTATATGTATTTTTATGTATATAATTTTGTATATTTATTTGTGAAGTACCATCTTATTTTAAGATGTATTTTTAATGTATATTTTAAATATATTTTATATGTCAAGTGCCATTTTAATTCATGATGCATTTTTTTAATATATTTTTTGTATATTTATATGCCATCTTAATTAAATTTAAGATTTATTTTTTATGTATATTTCACATGTCTAAGTGTCATCTTAATTGAAGATGTATTTTTTATGTATATTTCACATGTCTAAGTGTCATCTTAATTGAAGATGTATTTTTTATGTATATTTTTGTATATTTTATATGTGTTAATTCAATATATTTTTTATATACGTTTTGTATATATTAACATATATTATTATCGAAGTAAGATCTTTATGTTAAGAAAGGAAGAAAGAAGGAAGAGAAAAACTTAAGAAAGATAATTAAAAAGAAAATGAATGAAACAAATTTAGAAAATATATTGGTTTCGGCAGAAAACAAAATTAAGAAGATGAAAAAAAAGAGGGAAAGCTAATAGATAAAGAGAAAAAGGGCATGATTTTTGTATAAAGAATTATTGACTTTCCATTCAAATTGCTTATGTTTAGAGATTAATACTTAATATTTTTATTTTAATGGAATCGTGTGCTACAAATATAAATATTTTTCTGCCACAACTGTAATATTGGATTTTATGCTAAAAATTTATTATATTTCTTTTAAATTGTAACAGTTATGTAAAGTTTCCCAATAATTTTCTTCTTTTTTTTTCCGATAATATTGGGCACCGATTTCATTTTTTTCCCGCAATTAGGCACCAATTTGACAAGAAAAAAAGGTACCTAATTTTTAGTGGGTTAACGGATACCACATGACCCGGTAACCCGAATTGAACCTATTCGGTTGATTTCCCCCTCCGCAAGACAGCAGCTGCGACCGACGGGTATAAATACAAATATATGTAAAGGCAATAATCCATCAGAGAGTAAGTTTGTTGAGCTAAGCAAACCAACAAATAAAAAATGGAGAGGCGTCAGAGTGAGGAAGAATTAAAGCATAAGCTTCAAGAATTGCAGAAGCAGTTAGGAAAGAAACAAATGTTTGAGGAAGCTGTTTCCTCTATCCGATCCCTTCTTCTTCAATACTATCCTTCTGCTTCCCCTTCTCTTCGTCATTCGGTAATTTCCCTCTTCCCCTTTTCTGGGTTTTCCTTTTATTCTTGATTTATGTAATATGTATTACGGGAAATGTTGACCCATTATTTTCTTTTCTGCTATAGAAAAGTCTTATTACTTAATTTTGCTTTTGAGTTAGTGGTTTTCGTGATTTATTTGAGTATATATGAGTTTGGATAGCTGCAGAATAAAAAGTTAACTGGGTGAGTTTTACTTCTTGGAGCTGAATTATGGAAAATAGGTTGCTATGGATAAATGAGTTGGTAGAGGAGACGAGGTTTATGCCATAACAAAGTATGTAAATGATTGTGCACTTTGGCACCTAAGCTTTGTTTTACACAATGTAAAATATTTTCGTGAAATATTAGTTTCATTGGAAAGTCATTTACCTAACAATATCATTCGCGAACTCCTTTGCTGATGTTTGGTTGGACATAAACTTGGTCGAATGTTATACTTGCAATAGGGTGGGGGTGCGGGGTGGTGATTGGTGATAACTTTATGTTTAGTAGAGAGTGGAAACATATGTTTACATGGTGATATGGAGCAGGATTGGAATGAAAAATGGTCGGTGCAGACGCGAGTTGTTTTTTAAAAATTTGATGTAAAATGGTTTTGTTTCAATAGTTTAGCAATCAAACACCAGAAAATGATATCACCTAGAAAGTTTTTTCCTGGAAAACATTTACCCTCATGCTAAATAGTGTCTAAAAGGAAGATGATCGACCAGGTTGTTGATTTTAGTCTCGTTTCTTTATTTAAAACAAAAAAGAGAGAGATAGCTTATCTGCACGAGTATTCTGTGCCTTTTATGCTGTCTAATTGATTAAGCTGATATCCATAAATATAATGATGAGTCATTTTGTTGTTTGATGCTGAGTGCGAAAGCCTCCTTCATAAATTAGGTGGAACTTTTGTCTTTCTAGCTATTATATAGTTTAGTTCGCAGTTAATATCACCATGAAGAAATTAAACAATTGATCTTTTTGAAAAGAGAATTTAACATAGGTCAATTCATAGAAGGGAACTAGTACACATCTATTCTTACTATTAATAATACAAAGGGTTTGTGAGCAGTTCTTCCTTTATGTAACGCAGAAACAATGACCAGCGTATCGCTATATTTCAGAGAGATCCTAGTTTTCAGGGAAGGAGTTGTTTTCCTTCTTCAGAAACACAATACACTAAGCAAATGGTTTACTATAGGTTGGTTAGTAGCTGCACTATCTCTCTGCCTGGTTCTTTTGTTCTTATTTAAGAGACGCGGGGGGGGGGGGGGGGGGTCCTGTAACAGATGTTGATAACTGATTATTTGACCCCCAAATGCTCATACTCTTAGTCACTTTTCAGTCTCAAGTAAATGATTCTTGGAATGTGTGCTAGATGCTATGTGAAGAATATAGCTTCTTCATTTTGTCCGTAATATTCATCAGATCTCCATGCTTGCGTATTTGAGAGAAAAATATTACACCAAAGCTTTAAATCGCCTTTGCCTCACCTCAAAGCCTTCAGGTGGGAGAGAGATTCGAACATACATCACATGCAAAATGTCATGTCCATCATGTTCTATAGTAACTAGTGAGAGACGTTAGCATGCACAAAGTCACCTCATTGTTTGTAATTTGCTCTGCTTTAAATATGGGTGTAATTCGTTTTCCCATCACGAACTATGGGTTATGATTTAAAAAGAGTCTAGACAGGAGAATGAATATGGTAGTATTTACTTTGCTTTAAGTTGACTTTAGTGCCTTTACTTGCATAAGACTTGTAAAAAAAATGACAAGATATATTGAAAAAAGTACTTTTAACTTGCATAAGATTCTGCTACTGTTGAATAAATCCAAGTAAATACCAAATGCTTGCAGTTCTATACGGTTGTATGTCGGGTTGCCACCATTTTAAAGACAAGATACACAATGCCTGGATTCTGGAATGCTGGGCTTGGGTTATTCCTTGAGGCCGAGCACCTGGTGTCAGAGTCTTCTGAAAAGAAACATTTGCAAAGTTGCATTAGTCAGGCACGAGAGCAGTTAGCTGAAGTACAGAATGAATCTCAGAATACAACAGCCACAGAAAATGGCTCAAATAGAAGTACTGGTAAGACACCTTTATGAAAATTTTGAGTATATCAGCCATGTGCTCTGTTGCTACAAATATACCAACAAAAATGTTGCATGTATCTGATACTTATCCTGTTATTTTGATTCAGGATACCTTTTTGAGGGGCATCTAACTGTTGACCCTGAGCCTGAGCAGCCTGGTTGGCTTGTGCAGTCTAATCTTCTCACTGCTGCTGCAACACTGTTTGCTGGTGAATCCTCTGAAGGTCATTTATCCAGTGCTGACGCTTCAGACGGTGCTCGCAACGTACTTGAGGAGCTGGTTGCTAGACTAGATAATATAATCCCAGAGGTATCTCTAGTTTTACTCTAGTCTCGCATACAACTGCAGCCTGTAATTTTCACTCTGTGAACAGCAATATGTCAAGGGTGTCTTTTGTTTCGGAGTTTCCTAAACCAGTTACTGCGTTCTCACATGCCCTCAACTCTGAAAAAATGAGTTAAAGAATGAAGTTGGTGCACTTTTGTTTTATTTCTCATTTGCTAACCACTTGTTTACTATGTAGTATGTACATAAGTATCTGAGAAAAAAGGTTCTTGAAAGGACAATTTTTGTTAACACTAGTCCTAGCTTTACCTCGAATGCATGCTTCTTGATTTAAATTTTAAGAAAGAAAAACTTGTTAAAGGGGACTTATATGGATTCTTCCTAGGCCAATACAAGTTGGCTTGAAATAATGACAATTCTAATTTGTTCTATTTAAGATACTGGACGATGGTCCTGCTGCCCCGAGAGCACCACCTGCCAGTAAAAAAGTTGTGGCAAACCTCCCAGTTACTACTGTCACAGATGAATTCTTGACGAAGATGGGTGCAGATGCGGAATGTGCAATTTGCAGGGAAGTGTTAGTTGTAGATGACAAGATGCAAGAGTTGCCCTGCAAGCATATGTTTCACCCCCCTTGCCTGAAGCCATGGCTGGTATAGAAGTGAAACTTTGCTTCGTTTTATTCTTTCCAATAGCAACTTTCTAATTCTTCCAAAACTCTCATGGTTCGTTTAACAGGATGAGCACAACTCTTGTCCAATTTGTCGGCATGAGTTGCTCACAGATGATCATCACTATGAAAGCTGGAAGGAGCGGGAAAAGGAAGCAGAGGAAGAAAGAAAAGGAGCTGCTAATGCAGTTCGTGAGGGTGAATACATGTATGTATAATGCACAATACTCAAATGCAAGCGAACAGCAAGCACATGGATCGTATATGGATGATTTTTCAGGAAGATGAAGGACTACGATAATGAATTCTCTAAAGTCTTGAGAACGAGTAAAATATAATGTAAGCGACTTTGAGCTAACCAATGTACCAAGTTGCTGGAAAACATCTTATTAGAATACTGAAACTCTTTGTGCCATTCTTTGAAATATTTTTTGTTCGTACATATTTTCAGTCAAAAGTCCTCGTGGTAATTTGATTCTCTATCATAGCTATCTAGACTTAGTCCACTCTTAAGTGTGATCAAACCATTGCTTATCTGGGTGATTCCGAACAATTTAAGCATAATTTGTTGTGATGCAAGACCCAAAAACATTTCACTGATGATCAGCTGATGCGGTTTCAGGGATTCAATGTCTGAGTCAGCTAATTGGTCATCAGTGCTAGCTTTCGACTCAACTGAACTACTCTTCTGCTTGCCTAGTTTGTAGTTCGTCTGAACTGTCACTCGACTCATTTGAACTAGCCTTTTGCTCACCCAGTCCTTCGTTTGGCTTAACTTGCCCCTTCGCTCGGTTGAACTAATCTTTTACTCTGCTAGTGCTTGGTTCGCCTGAATTGGCCCTTGGCTTGACTGAACTTGTCTTCTGTTCAGCTGATCTTTGGCTTAGCTAAAACTAGCACTCAGCCCACCCCTTTTTTGTTAGCTGACCATACGGATTTCATATTTCAGGAACGTTCTTTCAGCGTTTTGTCGAGTAGTAGTTGTTGGCCGAGTCTTAGAATGTAACCACCACTTTGAGATTTGGTTAAAGGTGCTTTCTTTCCACTATGGTAAAAGAGCACTGAGAGGATCTTTTAGTAGTACTGAGAGCACCGGAAAGGACGCACCTTTAGTGTGCCAATTACGGTAAATCCTGGGTAGCCACGAGCAGATAACTGCTGAAAACATGTAAGTGCAAGTTACACATTTGGCCGGTCAGCCAAAAATAATTATTTTCGCTAGCCAAATACGATAAATATGTATATTGTACATTAATATACAAAAAATATCTATTTTGTCGGCTATTACTTTTTAGAGTGGCTATATTGTGTAGTTTTTCCAAAGGGATTTTTTCCTTCATATACAATAATTGAAACTTATTTATTAAAATTGTCCTTATTTTGTATGTTACCTGCCCTAAACAAGGATTACTTACAAATTATATTCAATCTATTATTAGTACCTTAAATTAGGGGATTTAGTTATATCTTTTTCCTATTTTCTCTCTGCTCCTCTTTCAATAAGGGCACGACTCTTTTTGGGTTGAGATTAGCTCCATTACTTAATGCTCAAGTAGGTTTCAAGGTTTCAATACACAACTGGATTGATGCCACGTATTCCTATGGAAATTGAATTGTGTGATTATATTTCTTCTCCCTTATCTATGACTGGTTTCTTTTTCCAAAACTAAAAAATAAAAATAAATAAATATAGAACCCTGCTTATCTAACAAACTGAATGTTCTTCAATTTCTATCTCTAGCTTTTACTAGGTATTTGTTTTGCTTTTTGCAAAGAGCATTTAGTTGAAATAAATCCATTACTTTGCTTCACCGCATGGGGAGGGTCGTTTCAACTCCTGTTTCGACTGTATCTTTGTTTTTCTTTGGGAATAACTATGTCGTTGATGCAAGGGTCATAGATGGATTATTTAATTTATTACTCCATGACTCATGAAGAAAAGAAAGGACAACATTTGGATGAGTGCAATAAAAGGTTTATTTTGGTGGGAAAAAGGATTATTTTTCAGATTGTAAAACACAGTAGTCGACAAGATATTACTTATTTATTAAGTAATTAATTAATTTTTTTATTTATTCTATCATTTTATTTACCCTATGCATACTAGAGAGACGTCTCTGCAAAGAGCATTTACTTTGTTTCCGATTCCATCACAACATGGAGAGGTTGTCAATTTCGTACATTAACATACAAATTAAAAATAAATTTCGTACAAATTTAATGCAAATTAGAATATCTCTAACAACATACATACTAAAAATAATTTTCATATAACTAAGTATATAGTATACAACTTATCTACAACTTTCAAACATCATTTCTACCCAGTTAAATACAATTACTCCCTCTGTTTTAATTTATGTTAACCTATTTAACCGGGCACAAAGTTTAAGAAAAAATGAATTTTTTTTGAGTTTGTGGTTCTAAACAAATCAAAAAGGGGTCCAGAGTATTTGTGTGGTTATAAAAGCTTCTCATTAAGGGTAGAGTTGGAAGTCTAAGCTAAATTATTTCCAAATTTAGAAAGGAGTCATTCTTTTTGGAACGGACCAAAAAGAAAATAGGTTCACATAAATTGAAACGGAGGGAGTACAACATTATACAACTTAAATATAATTTTCATACAAATTTTATACAATATGTATTTTGTATATATTTTGTATATGATTTGTATATATTTTGTAAGTTGTGTGTTCTTCTTCCTCTCTGAAATTCTAATTAAAATTTTCTCTCTTAATGTAATTTTGATATATATCAACAACTTTATGTAAAAAGATTATCACGACCCAAAATCCACTATATGTCGTGATGGCGCCTAACGCCGCCGTCAGGCAAGCCAACGGTGATTTACCAATTTAATTACTCATTTTAGTATTTTAAAATCATAATTTTCCTTAATTGAACAGAAAAATAGAATTTACAGAGTAAATGAAAATATTTACACGAACCACAATAATGAATAACCTGAAGGGACCCCCAAAACCCGATGTCACAAGTGCATAAGCATAAACTAGAAAATATAATAAAATACAACATCTGTCTGGAATACAAATTAGACAGGGGAATATAAATAACTCTGATAGATACTCTGCAGGCTGCGGATCGTGACATGAAATGCATCTCACGGTAAAGTACCTACAATAGCCGCGCCTCTGCGCCCAAAAGACCACCAGACATATATATACTTGCACAAAAAGTGCAACAAGTGTAGCATGAGTACGTAAATCAACGCGTACCGAGTAAGTATTTAGCCTAATCCCGGAGGAGTAATGACGAAGGATCGACATCAACACTTATTAGTGGTCCAATAAGACAGGTACAGTAGAAGTAAATAGGTGTGAGTCAGAGTAAATAAGCGAAATAACAAGTATAATACGTGGTACAATCCTCCTCTCAGTAATAACTCAAACTATCAGCTAGTAGCTACCTCCACAATCGGAGTATATGTACAATGGACCTTACCAGATAGGTCGTCACAGTTCAATTAGTAAAAGCTCACAAATATGCTGGCTTCTTACCAATTATTACGCACGATTTCATAAGAGTATTTTATAAAAATGTCGAGGCATTCGACCCGATCCATCATAATATTTTCGAACCATAGATACATCTATTTCATTGTCGAGGCGAACGGGCCGCTCCCATGAGAGTGTGGTACATAATCCTGCCGAGGCGTACGACCCGATCCATCATAGTGTGCGCACTGCCGAGGGTCGAACGGCACGAACCATAGATGTATCTATCCTGCCGAGGCGAACAGACCGATTCCATTAGAATATGAAGCTTTGACGGGTCCTTGACCCCACTCACGAGTAGACGTGTGAGCTATGTATATTAAGGGAAACCTTTCGGTAAAACACAATACGCGGAAGAATTTCATAAGAGGAGTACAATCATTTCGCGGCTAATCATGAAGCCCATTGAATCTCTACCATATCGAGTCTATCACTTTACACAAGTCTAGTCTCAAGTCGCATTGTAAAATAAAGAAATTTAATAGGCAGGAGACAACTCAAGTAGTACAACTATAGCATGGTGTGAACCTAAGTCTACCTGGACAAAACATGAATCTGGCTACGCATAGACTCTCGTCACCTTGTGCGTACGTAGCCCCTGCAAAAAGTAACACATAATAAATACATCATCTAGGGGTAGTTTCCCCCTCACAGAGATAGACATGAGACTTACCTCGCTCCGAAGTTTCATAACCGGCTCCAAAGCCTCCCTAACACCTCAAACCAAAGCCCATCGATCCAAAACTATTCAAACAATGTGCAACCCAATCAAAATATATTCTAATACCCATAATTAATCAATTTAAATAATTTTCAACTCCGCTCAAAAAGTTGATAAAGCTAACCCTCGGGCTCACGTGCCCAGATTTTAAAAATTTCCGAAGATAAACATTACCCATAACATTACGAACTCAAATATACAATTTGTTCCTAATTCCATGTCCAATTTCGTGGTCAAAATCTAAAAATACCATTTCTAGGTTTTCTTCCATAAATCCCACAATTTCCATAAATATTCATGTTTAAATCCTTGTAGAATCCATGTATTTAACTTACAATAGGTGAGAATAACTTACTTTGCCATAGATGATGGAAATCTCTCCTTGAAGCTCTCCAAAAATTGCCCAAACCAAGAGAGAAAATGAGTGAAATGAGCTAAACCCCGATTTTAAAACAATCTACCCAGTCGACCTTCCGCACCTACGGAAAAATCCATCGCAAGTGCGGTCCCCTCCAAGCCATGCAAATCCGCTTCTGCGGACCAATTTCCACTCCTGCGAGGCCACATCTGCGGTCACCCACATGCTCCTGCGGTCCCACATGTGCGGAGAGCTTCCGCTTCTGCGACCCCAGCTGCTCATCTCGTTTTCTGCTTCTGCGGAGCACGCAGATGCGGAAATCCACTCACATCTGCGGCCATCCCAACTTAGTCCCAACGTCGCTTCAGCGACCACAGTACCGCTTCTGCGGCTCCGCACCTGCGCCGAAAACTTCGCAGGTGCGGTTACACCAGATGCCAGCTGCTTCAGCCTTCCTCCCAAGTCCAAACTCGATCCGTTTTCAATCCGATATGCACCCGAGGCCCCGGGACTCCGTTCAAACATACCAACACATCCCAAAACACGACACAGACTTAGTCGAGGCCTCAAACCTTGCCAAACAACATCAAAACTACGAATCGACGATCGAAATCCTTCTTTAAACTTTCAAACTTTGAAACTTCGACGAACGCGTCCGAGTCCTATCAAAACATTCCGGAATGATGCCAAACTTTGTGCACAAGTCATAAGTCACAGTACGAACGCATTCCAAGGCCCGAAATCCCAAACGGATATTAATAATAGTAAAATCTACTTCAAGTCAAACTTAAGAACTTCTTAACTTTTAAAATACCAACCTTCCACAATAAGCACTGAAATGCTCCCGGAAGATCCGATGCTCAACCCGAATATATGCCCAAGTCCGAA